ATGAAGGGCAGACAGTCTGCAGCCCCGCAATGAAGGGACCCGACTTGGGCAAAGCTACTTAGGTTGTGAGTCAAACCAAGACGCAGAGAGCGCCATTGAGAATAGCGACCCGCCAAACAACCATCGTAGAGACGCAATGCTACAGAATGCAACAAGCATCAATACGACTATCGTCGGGCTTACACCATCCCAAGGTCCCCCATACAGTCCCAGCAGACATCACCACCCGCATACCTCCATCGACCAGAACCACAAGATGCATCGAATCAGGTGCAGCACACCCGCAGATCCATCACAAGACACAATACTGCAAGTAGCAGTAAGCATCAATGCAACTATCATACGGATGGCGCCCCCTCACAACACACCCACATGATCCCTATCGACTTTGGTAACAAAATTTGATAATGTTGTTAACTAAAAATACCACTAACGTATCATAGTAGTACGGTACTAAGACGTCAGTAGACAAAACTCCACGTATCATAGCGCTATTGCACTAAGACATGAAGTTGAGTATGCTTGCTGCACTTAAAAGTACTACCAAACACACTCACCCTAATCCGAAAGATAGCCGACGTATCATAACGCTATGCGCTAAGACGCCGCCCACAACCGGTAGGGGTGTGCGATGTCCACGAGCAAGTCGTATTGCTACAACAAACCCGCTTACCACCGGCACTAAGATGATATGTCTAGGACACATCGGTTAGTGAGTCCAAGTTTACCTCGGTCTCAGAGGCTGCGAAGCAACCTACACGCCACTATAATAATCCTTTTCAAGTCCCATTTCTTTCAATATAATGCTTTTACATATTTGAGACCTTCCACATATTTGCTTTATTTCATAGACCATACTACTGTATGTCTTATTCATATGGGACTTCAAGTCATAACTCTGCTATCATAATGCTTATGCATCATAGAGACCTTCTATATTAATGCTTTGGTTCGTCAGACCTTACTATGTTAAGTCCCTAATATAGGACTAGTCATTGTGCAACCTTAGTACTAGCAGTCGGTCAGCCGACCACCCCATATATATGTACAACCTTGGGTATGTGTCTCCGACAACGCCCCAATATAAGGGAACATTACAAGAACACGTTCATTAACTTAGAAATTTTCCAATTATTACACGAACACCTTCATCAACTTAGAAAATTTTAATCCATTTTTTTCTATTATATTACAAATGTTATTTATCTTTGTTATTGCAATATAATCGCCTTGTATTTATATGATTTGATATATTTTAAACATTTTAAGCAGGTTTTTAATAAATTTAGAGATTTTTTGAGACATTTTATGCGTTTACTAATATATATAATATTCAATATTCCAAATGGATATTTTTGAACTCTATGCTTATTATTTGCATTTTATTGTTTAAATTATAATTTCTATGACCTTTTTAAATGTCTGTATAATGAATTTAATTATTATTTATTAATAATAATTATGAGGCGTCACAATATGCAGAAGAAACAGCGTTGGTGATAGCACACAGCCTTGTGGAACACCAGCGTTAATAGGCTTGTAGTCAGAACATGCACCGTCTACAACGACCTTGATGCTCCGATCTGCAAGGAAGCTGGTGATCCAATTGCACAATTTCTCGGGAAGCCCATAGGAAGGGAACTTCGAAAGAAGCGCTTTGTGCCAAACCCGATCGAAGGCCTTCGCAATGTCCAGACTAACGGCCAACGCCTCCCCCTTGGACTCTACTGCCTCCGCCCATCTATGGGTCAGGTAGACCAGAAGATCACCAGCTGATCGACCCCGACGAAAACCCTATTGGCGGTCACTAATCAGCTGGTGATCCTCAAGGTACCGGATGAGCTGGCAGTTAATAATGCATTCCATTATTTTGGAGAACGAGGAGGTGATCGCGATAGGCCTATAGTTGGATGGGTCTGAGCGGTCGTTTTTTGGGGATCGGGTGGACAAAAGCTGTCTTCCATGAATTCGGGACTACGCCTTGGGAGTAGGAGTACCGGAAAAGACGCGTTAGGACCGGTGCCAACTCCGGAGCACACGTCCTAAGCACAATTGGGGGGATTCCGTCAGTCCCACTCGACTTCTGGATGTCCAGGGAGAGAAGTGCTTTGCGAACCGAGCGCTGTGAGAACAGCACATCCGGCATGGAGCACTCACACCGCGGGATGGTCGGCGGTGTTTTCCCCCCGTCATCAAGAGTCGAGTTGGACGCAAAAAGGGAGCCTAAAAGGTCAGCTTTGTCTTTTGCGTCTTGGGCCAGTGAGTCGTCCTCCCTGTGCAGAGATGGTAGTGATGGCTTACAGAAATTCCCTTGGACAGCCTTGGCGAGAAACCAGAATGCACGGGTTCCCGAAGGAAGGCGAACTAGTTTCTCGCCAATTCTGCCTATGTGCTCTGACTTTGCCTTGGCAATAACTCTTTTGAAGGACCTGGAGGCGAAGTTATACTTCTTTTTAAGTATGCTGGTGTTTACATCCTGAGTTCCTGAGTCGCCGAAGCCGCAGCCCAGGCTTGATAATACTCCTGCTTACTGCGTAATGCAGTCTTACAGGAGCGACCAAACCAAGGCTGAGATCTGCCTCCGATGGGTACCACAGATGATGGAATAAATAGTTCCATTCCCTGTAGCACCACATCAGTGACAGAGTCAGCAACAGCGCTGGGATCATCCGGCGAGAAGCAATCCCGCCCCCATGGGTAGGATGCAAAGAAAGACCGCATTCCGTCCCAATCTGCCGACCTGTAATGCCAAACACGGCGGCAACCTGCAGAGCGCAACCGCGAAGGGGGCGTGAGTGGCACCACACTCCGGATCAGACAATGGTCCGAAGAGCCGAGAGGGGCATCGACGGAAACCTGATATCCGTCCGGATGAGAGGTCAGCAGAAGGTCCAACAGGGAAGGTGTATGATCCTCCACATCTGGAATCCGCGTAGGCGAAGTAACCAGTTGTGTCAGACCATATGCCAAGGCAAAGTCATAAACAGATCTCCCCGCATGATCGGTTAAACGTGAACCGAGCCATTCGGCATGGTGGGCGTTAAAATCGCCAAGGATCACGATCTCTGCGGATGGGACCTGTTGTAGCAAGGAATCTGTAGCCATTTGGACGTGGTCGATGAGTCGGTCTGTTTCGGCATTACCGCTATGGGACCTATAGAGGCACCCGTAGACGCGCGGATGGTCGTCGCTGTCTACGCGTAGCCAAAGGATAGACAGGTCCGAACCTTCAAGACTGCCGAGGCGTCGAGAACAGATGTCCTCTCTGACATACACGCAAACTCCAGCCCGGGGCACAAAGGAGTGCTCCAATTTGTACCCCGGGTAGGAGAGATACGAAATATCAGCCGGAGAGGAAATCTGCGTCTCAGTCAGAAAGAGCAAGGCTGGCTTCGCCGTCTCGAGATGGTAGTGGACGGCGTTTAGGTTAGAGTGAAGTCCCCTGATGTTGCAGAAATTCACGGATAGCGTGGCAGGGGTCGCCTTGGTATTATTGCTCAGTTTGCCCCGAGCAGTTATTTTTTTGAGCGGAATTTTGACAATCTCATTTATTCTTTACCACCGAGTATTCTACGTAGTAAATCAAATTTTAAAAGAGCTATTAACAATTTCGTTGGTTTAGGCGAGGATCAAACTTTCTTTTTTGCTTACGATGCAGGCCTGATTTATAAGTTCTTTTGTGTTTTTTTTTATTGTAACAATCGCGTCAAATTAATCTCTTTTATTTTATGAAATTGATTTTAACAGCGCCATCTATCTTTAAATCTCTATACGGTCATAACATGCTGTACCTGTTTCTGTACATTGTATAGTATATTAATTTGTGACTAAAATCATTATGGAGAATGAAATTCATTAAATAAGTACATTTTATAATTTTTAGAGTTGTGTGTCTATCTGTCTGTCTGTTTGTTTATGAACACATCACGTCTTAAGTAAACATCTTTTTTTCAAAGAAATCGTTAAGAAAATCATAAAGCGTATCTTCCAGTTAATTAATCTTTGTTTTATTAAAATTGGTTGATTCTATCGAAAGTTATGTTATCGAAAGTTCTATCGTAAATGTAGCAAAATTGCAATAAAACAAAATTTCATGATGTTGTTTTATACCAAGAATCCATCTTATGTCAAATAGCTTTCCTTTCAGTTTTAAGCGTGTTCTGTTCCCACTTCCCAGTCAGCGTGTGTTATGCGATGACCGATGACCGTAAATAAAGCGCAAGGTCAAACTTTACGCGTTGCAGGAGTGGACCTCAATACTGACTGTTTTGTACATGGCCAACTCTATGTTGGCCATGTACAAAACACATGTACAAAAAACTTTTTCCTGCGTTATTAGCTCCTGTAAATTTTTTCTGTACGCCCCGGCTGTCTACTTCTAACGTCGTTTACACAGAAGTTCTATCACAAACGACTCAGAACTTTGAGCATAACGATTTATTTTGTTACCACTTATTCATACAGTAATGATATAAATCGTTTAATATTCTCTTACCTAAACGTCAAATTCTTTAAGTAAAACCTATATACGCGAGCTACGCCGGGGGCACAGCTAGTATTCGTAATATTTCATAAGTTTAATCACCATATTATGTTTTAAATATAATTAATAAAAACAATTATACGTGGTAGAGCCATGCTGCAGCTATATTAGTATTATAGTTGTAGCACGAATGGGTCGGCTCGATCGGGGAAGGACCAAGCTCTCACAGAATACCAGCATCAAATAGCACCTTAACACTGCTGTGTTTACTGGAAACGAGGCATTCCATCTTGCAAACGAGGATAAATGTAGATGTCTATTGGCCACAGCAACCACTTACCATCAAGTGGACTTGTTGCTTGCTCGTTTATCACCCTAAACTATAAAAAAAATTAAACAAAATCTTACTAAGTTTGGTACCATTTGTCGCTTGTTGTCGAAACTATATAATTTACATTGTGAACTTTCTATTAGTATCCTATAAAATAGTCGTAGATAAACTCTCCGTTTCTTCCAGGCAGACGGGCGGGCAGTTCGTAGAGGAACTGACACGCGAATTAGATTACAGACAGCAGAGGCAAGCGAACGCACCCCCCTTCTTACTGCAGAGCATAGAAGAGAACAGAAAGAAGAACAGAGCCCTGAACAATCTTGTTACATCGACCAACCGCCAGAGCATCACTAACCCTAACTTTATTTACTAAGATATAATTATTTGATAATTATGTGGATGTGGACAGCTCGTTTCTTACGTTAGACGTATTCTTTTGCTGCACAATCCGAAAATTAATTTCTTAAAATTATTTGCTCTATTTTATGCGAAAACTACATTGAACCTTTTCACGATATGAGGCCGTAACATGCCTTTACCTTTTACAGTAACATATATACATTCAAAAGAAAATTACAGTTGTATTATTATCTACGATCTGAATACTGAGGACGCAAAATAGTGTTCATTTACTAGATAATATCCCAGTTATAAAGTGAAAATACTCCTATAGTTTCAGATAATTTGAGCAAAGCAAGGTTTGCAATCTAACGTCATATCACGCGTAATTAAGTTAGGGTAAATAAAGTGCAGTAATTAAGGAAAGAGCCAAAGCCGTGAGTGTGAATGCAATAAAAATTGTTGTTCCTTAATTTTCGTTTGTAAAATTTAAGTGAAAACATTTAGCTTTAAGTTGCATTTATAAGTTGCTTTATTTATTAAAAGTAAAAGCTAACAAAATCTTTTATTAACTGAGAGTCTGTTTCAACGATAAGAAGAGATACAACGATGGTAGGACCCTTTTTACTAGAAACGAAGCATTCCATCTTAGTCCTCACGGGTGACAACGCATCTGCATTTTGATTCGCAAACGAAGATAGATGTAGATGTCTATGGGCCACAGCAACCAATTACCATCAGGTGGACTGTGTGCTCATTTGTCACCCTTATCCTATAAAAGGACCCCATTCCTGCCTATGATTCCGTGGATAGGTACCACGCTCTTAACTAGTTCTGCTGTCAAATAGCAGTGCTTGCGCTGCTGTTATCCGGTGTTTGGTAAAGAGAGCCAGTGTAATTACAGGTAATGAGACACTCCATCTTGGTAGATCCTACGTGATAGAGCGAGGCTGCAGCTATATTATGGTTGTAGCACCAATGGGTCGGCTCGACCAGGGCAGGGCCACGCTCTCACAGAATACCAGCGTAAAATGGCAGCTTAATGCTGCTGTGTTTCGTATGGTGAGTGTAGATAATCGGAGACTATTTTTGCTGGAAACGAGGCATTCCATCTTAGTCCTCAGGGGCGGCAAAGCTGCATTTTGATTCTTAATTGAGGATAAATGTAGATGTCTACGTGCCACAGCATCCACTTACCATCAGGTGGACTGTATGCTCGTTTGTCACCCTTATTCTTTAAAAAAAACCTAAGCGTTAGATATAGCAACACATCTGTAAACTTCTTTATTTAAAATTGAATGCAGGCGTCCATGGACTGTAGTAGTGGCTGCTACAGTCCATGGGCCATCCATCAGTCCATTGCCATCAGGTTATAAAAGAATCGGTTGTCTGTAAAGTCGGTTTACTGACGATAGTTGAACGTGACAACGCCGACTGCGCCTCTTTGTCGCTCGTTCCGCGCTCTCGCTTGCACTTCAAGCCTTAAATGGAACGCCTCAGAGCGAGGTAACGCCGCATGAGTCATGTTTTTTCGTGCGTGCAGCCAGCTTCATCGAATTATAAGACGTTGTTACGTCAAAAGATATTTCGCAAAACTTCACTTACCGCTTCGAGTTGTCACTTGAGAATCTTTCTTCCCAATCGGTCTTCTGCACTAGTTAAAGTGGCGCGAAAGTAAGTAGAAACATTTGAATTTAGTGCAAGAAGACGCACCAATAAATTACAGATGTTAGTTTTTTGTTTGTTCAGACAACATAAACCACAACCAGCACATCAAAGGACCGTCTTTTGGTGTTAGTACTTCAACAGTAATAGGGATTTAGTTCTCTGTAAGAGCTTTCCAATCTGAGGACCACCCATCATCCCTGCCATCATGCGCAGGATATACTTGCTTCTATCGATCCATTGCAGCCTATGAAGGTACCCTATTTCTAATAGGGGTGTGGAATATTGTGCCATAGTTACCACGCTTGGCAGGCGGGTTGGCATCCGAAGTTTTGTTAATATCTTGAGTAGTTATCAAGAAGATGCTGTTGCCAATCTCCTCTTTCAGTTCCTCTCTGTCGCCCCTTGCGAACCCCAGTAGATGATATGGGGTATAGGATTCTTATACACTTTTTTTATAGGGTAAGGGTGACAACCAAGCACACAGTCCACCTGATGGTTGTTGGTTGCTGTGGCCCATAGACATCTACATCTATCCTCGTATGCAAATCAAAAGGCAGATGCGTTGTCAGCCGTGAGAACTAAGATGGAATGCCACTTTTCCAGTAAAAAAGGTCTCCGGTTATCTAAACTCACCATACGAAACACAGCAGCATTAAGCCGCTATTTTACGCTGGTATTCTGTGAGAGCGTGGTCCTTCCCCAGTCGAGCCGACCCATTCATGCTACATATACAATAAATATAGCTGCAGCATGGCTCTACCATGTGGAAATCACGCTGCCACTGCGCGTACTTACGTACTTACTTACTTACTAACAAAGTGACAGGCAAAGTATTGATTTTTGTACACAGTGTTCACTACGGTTAACAACTTCTTCACTCTAAAGAACTCCAGCTTCACTGTCATGATTATTATTATTACAGTAAGATACTATTAAAATAAAGACACATACTTTATTACACTATAATAAATTACATAAATAATTAGTTACTTATCAATAATTGGAACTAAGCCTTATAATTATATAATTATAATTATAATTAAAGTTTACTAGGCGCACAAAGTTAGAATGAGATTGGGTTTATCGACGTCTTCACTCTCTCAACATCAATTTTTCTGACGTCGCATCACAACGCCATTTTCAGATTTATTTTTAACTAATTTTAAGAAATACACAAAAAGTAGCAAATCTCTAAAAATTATTAAATTTTAAATAAAAATAAACCTTTATCAATTGTATTTTTAGTACCCTTTCCTAGTTTGAATTATACAATTTTACACGTTTAACAAAATGCACTTAAATTAACGAGCCATTCAAAGTAATTGTCAGAGTATAAAAATAAATAAAAATGCCTACATTGCTATGATAAGTATCATGCGGCATAATAAACAAAGCAATAATTATAACCGTTTACAATTATTGATGTGTGTATTATGCCACAAGATACCTATCATAGCAATATACGTTTTTAGTATCCTAAGCAAGTGCTTCACTACTATCCCATCTGATGGTAAGTGATGATACAGCCACAAGTAGATGGTAAAGCACACTGACTGATTGACTTAACAAAAGCCTATTCACTCTTGCCTTGAAAACATCCACATTGTAATCGGATTGAAAGACAGATGCTGGCAACTTATCTAATTCCAATAAAAAACAAATCAATAATTATAAACGATTCTCTTTATCTTCTTTACGGTGGGCCTCGCATGCAATCGATTGGAGTCTGTAATTTTTTTTCTGCAAACCCCCGCGCGGCATATGGTTCGGGAGATTAAAGTCTTTCCTTTTAATGGTCTCAATTTACTTCTGTCTTTGTTTGTAACATGATTTCTATTTTCTTCTAGCTTCTCTTTGCTTCCACTTTCTCTGACTTTATTGGCTTCTGAAGTGTATAGAATATCTTGATTGTTTCTATACGCATCACTTTCTTCAGGATTCCTACCTACATAACTAAAGGATGGTTCAAATACGCCGGATCCTTGGGTGTTCTGTTTTTCCCTCTGTCCCAGTTTTAGATAATTGTAGGTATTAGAAACATCAATATGACTAATTGGTTTGAAATCTGAGTAGCTGATGTAATTATTGGAGCGTTTAGGTTTTTCCAATTTCTTAAATTGATTGTTAAATTCATCGTCATAATTATGATTGTACGGGTACGTAGGCTTCGCTTGAGTCAAATCGCTTGTTGATAATCGTTGCGTTTTCTCCAAGGCTCCTCCCATAAACTTAATTTTAGCTGCATCAAATGTGACACTCGGTGGCAATTTTTCCCCGTAAAAATCCTTGTCAGACGTTTTACCATACAAATGTTCTAACTCCTTGATATTTTCGCTCCAACGCTGTGTTACACCTGGTAACAAAAACATTGTTATAATTACTACTGACACTAGAGATCGCTCAATTAGTTTTGACTATGGAGTGTAGAGTAGAAGGAGGACCATCTCTGTACATGAAAAGTGTCCGTAAAAACGCGTCCAATAAGGGTGGCGCTGCAGTAGCATAGGATAAATTAAAAAAAAGCGCCAAAATTCATTAGAATAAGATGGAGAAATAAACAAGGACCGACGAATCCGCTTGGTTTTGTACTACGTAAATAGTTGAGGTTTTGTATACTGGCATTTTACTAACTACTCTAGTCATGAAATTTTGTTAAATATTTTAATTCAACTGACTTCACTCCGTCTACAACAGCTATATTCATATCGTAGTTTTTCAGACGCCAGCGCTATTGTGTTTCGTTTTGGAACCTCTATTTTCAGTATATATTGGGACACTTTTTCAACTTTCGCACCTTATAAGATGGTTCTCCTTCTACTCTACACTCCATAGTTTTGACGCTTATATTATCGTGTCTACAGTTAAAAAGTAGTACAACATTTTATAAAACTAGGTTTGTAGTCTATACACGTCTCACAGCTGGGCACAGGTTGGAGTTTTGGCGGGAACTCGACCGGCGGCGGATTGCTGCTCTTGTATTATTGTTTAAATTATGGTTTGAAGTGGATTTTGATATGTAAAAGTGGTGCGGTTTTGTGTATTAAGTGTCTGCGCATGTGAACTATTAGTGGAAACGGTGAAACAAGTGCTCAGATGGTGATGTGATTCTCAAGATAAGGTATGCTTAGGCGGCTTGGATACCATCGCCAACTGTCAGCTGTCTGCTGGCTCAAGTTGCCATCAAAATCGCCCAAGGACTGCACAATGTGAATGTACTATAAAAGATAATTACACATTGTAACTTCAGGCTCAGAAGGGCTAGAACCCAGAGCCGTAAAGACAGTTATAAAAAAATGGGCACAGATCTCCTATCATTTCTGAGAGGTTTATTGGTCAATAAGTCATAGAGTACTTTTTAAATATGTTGACGGATTTCGCATGTTTTCAGTTTTCATTCGCCGCCGAGCACGTGGTATGCTATGAGTAGCACTTACAACTTCAATTAACAATTTAACTGTGCCGGCGGAGATCGAACCCAGGTTCCTTGCGTACGTAAATTTACGGCAAGTTCTTTGCTTCTGAGCTACCACGGTTCATACATATCATCTCATCACATCTCATAATAGTGATATATTTGTAAATTTACATAATGATTTCTTATATTTACACGAAAACTACTAAATAAAACTAATTTTACGGATTTAGTATCGTTTAATTCAACTTTTTTAACTCCCGAGTTTTAGAGTACTTTGCGGCACCCATGATCACGGGGGCCGGGTGGGAGAGAGATTTTCGACGTACCAATATCATGGTTAACTCGAAATACCTTTAAATTATTACTGTTGGTCCGATCTACACAGAATGAGCAAAATGTATCGTGAAGTCTTGCAGTGGTTTGATTGTGTTTGGATTTAATTTTATTAATTAAAGAATCCTCAGCAAATAAGAAGTACCGAGCTGCCTTAAATTAGAGTTGGAACAGTTGTATAATAAATAAAATTAAAATAAAAAATTTAAATTAAATTCTGCTTTAAGACAATCGAAAAAACATATTATAATATTATGCAAATGAAGTCGCGGACACAGCTAGTAATTAATATGCTTAACACAAATTGTAAATGCGAAAAAAAAATGTTTAATAGAAGAATAAAATAGTTACTTTTTTGCATATACCCGGAAGAACCCGCAAGAAAATAAATTTATTTAATAGTATGGAAATGATCGAAAGTATGAAAAAAAATGTGCTTTGAAAGTATATTTTTAAGATATCAAGTATTTAAAAATAAAGTGAACAAGTTGTTGTCACATTCTTAATACTTCAAATGAGAGAGCGTTCGATTTCTGATAGACTAAGCTAGGGCTGTCATAGAGGCTGTATTTATAATATGAATGTAATTATAATATATTATATACATTCCATTCTTTCCCGTAATTATTGGAGAGGTACTTAAGGCCACTTTGGTCACTGTCTCATCTATTTGTTACTCATTGGTTAATTTCTTAAAAAATTACACTACTGAATGCATAATTTTGTAGAACAGTACGTTTTTGGAAGGATGTCCTTACCTTCTTCGGACATCAACACAAAAAGATTTATTATAACACTAGCTGTGCCTCCAACTTCGTTCGCAAAGAATCTACGAGTATTTATTTTTTCAATGATTTTAAAGCCAAATAAGTTAGGGATTTACTCGGCTTGCAGCTTTTTTTTTATCATGGTCCCAATTTTTTTCATTTTTATTAACTACAATTACAACTATTTGAGATGATGGAACAGCATCACAAATAGTAATACTTTAGAAATGTTTATAATCATAAGGTGTAATTTAATTATAAATAACTGATGCCATCAAAAACATAACTTGTAAAAAAACCAAGTTTCGCAACTCAGTTCTTCTACCGTAAAAAGTTGTGAGATCCAAGCAATACCAAGTCGGTTAATTTATTCAGTCTCTACTTAAGGGTCATTCTGTATTAAGTTATTACGTACTTAACTAACCTAACAACATCTTATAGTGACCATATCAATATTAAAAATCTTTTATGTTTTAAATAAATTGATTGACTTGGCCATCGCATGAAGACACAATGTATCTCACAAGTAATACATATTACATTAAATTAAATTATTTAGTGCGATTGTATGCGTTGGTGGAATTTGACGGCTGGAACTAATCAAAAGAATTCCACTGAGCTCTCCCTGCAATGCCTGTAAACTCATCTGTCTTTTTTTTTTACTTCAATTTATACCTATTATCCGTGCATTTTAAACAACTTCTCTATGTTGTTTTCTAAATTTGATGCATTTAAAAATTTCTATATTCCTAAAAAAACTATTATCTCAAAAATGTGTGTGACAACCCTGACTTCGAATGAAACAAGTGTTATTTGCCCATTACTTTTACTCAGCTTTCGTGGATTCATTTTTACATCACACATAATCGTGAAAATAACAAGTCACAATGTTTAATGTTATGTAATTTGATTTGGTAAACTATCTCCGATATCGAAATGCTTCGGTGGCTTGGACATGTAGAAAGAATAAATATGAAAGGAGTGACAAAGCAAATTTAAGCTACAGTGAAAGGTAGAGTCGACAAAGGACCAAAGTTTATTGATCGAAAGTGACGATATATTCATGATGTGCCAAATTATGAGTACTTTTATCGACGAGCGTAAATACGTCTTTATGGATTTGAAAGAAGTTTATGTTTATTAATATTATGTTTATATATATTATTTTTACTTGAGACTTGTAACTTTCACTTTAAGAAGCCTATATTATATTAGGATCTTTATGATCTAAGGGAAAGATTCAGTTTTCAATTGAATTTTGCGCAGAAGCTAAATTCTATTTTAATATTTGTTATTAGTTCACAACAAACACACACTCACGCCTGTCACCCAGAGGGGTAGGCAGAGACTACGGACTTCCATTTGGCGCGATCCTGACACACCTCTCTCGCCTCCTTTACATCCATGTATCTACGCATACACGCTCGTCGGTTAAGGGTACTCCTAATCTGGCCCATTTTCAATATATCGCCGATTTGGTCGATAAATCTTCATCTAGGGCGTCCCTTCCCGACTATGACGTTCACTTCTGAAACATAAATTTGCTTTGTCACTCTTTCCTCGTTCATTCTTTCTACGTGACCAAACCACCGAAGCATTCCTTTTTTAATCCTGGTTACAACGTCATCTTGCAAACCACGCTTTTCTCTTATCACACCATTATATCATTAACCATATCCTTAATGACCGCATTTCTACAGCATTTATTCTACTCTCATGCTTCTTCTGCCATACCCAACTTTCACTACCATACATTAAAGTAGGGACTAACACAGCATTATGAATTGCCATATGTGCCTTCTTTGATACATTCTGACCCTTCATAATAGCGTGTAGAGGCCCATTCACACTATTTCCTGCGTTCACTCGTCGTTCTATATCCTTATCATATCTACCGATACCAATACTACCATACTTGCTCAATCAACTCTGGTTTCCCTTCAAAGCGTATAAATCTTTCGCCTTTATTAGTTCATTAGTTAAAAAACTACAAACTATATCGATACATATAAATAAAACTGAAGCGTCTGTCTTAATATCGAAATAACCAGGACAGGAGTAATCTAGACTATATTTTTTTTATCGAAAAACTTGCAAAATTTTTAAAATAAATGTTTTTTGATGATTCTAAATATAAATAACGTCGCATCAATAGATACTACCCAGGCGAAGTCGGGACGAGTCGGGGAGTAATATATAAAATTTATTATTATTTACTCGTCTTGTTTGCGTTTCTATACCCTTCGCCCATTTCTATGAAACTTTGGTGAGGTGTGCACGTAAACATACGCTGGCGATGTTTCTGACAAGAAAGGCAATCAATTATGCAATTATGATGGGATTCACAGCTTTTTCTCCCACCAACGCGGCGCCATTTTGGAATTGACGTGAAATATTTGACAGACTACAAATTTTTGGCGGGAAAATAAAAAGTTTAATATTTGTTTCTGAAATACTAATGATATTTTATATAAATTAAATAAAATAGACTATAGAAATCACAGATATTCCTTAAAGTATAAGAATTAAAAAGAAAGTTAAAAATATAAAAAGAAAATTAAAGAGCAACCGCTGAAGGATTATTTAGTGTATATAGATATATGCACTAGAACCGAAAAACTTATTTGAAATACAACTGTTCACTTACGTTGACATTGTGCTACAAACATTGAGTTATATGTACTACGTACTAGAGAAGCCATTCCGAACATTGACTATGTTCAACTGAACTGTAGTGCAATCCATACAAACTAAATATTGCGTAAATTGAAGATTTGTGAATTACATAAAATAATTATTATTACATTTTATTTAGAAATTATTTTTGTTTAGATTAAATTAAGATATTTTATATTAAATTCTTATATTTATTTTATATTAATATCTTATTTTATATTAAATTAAAGTCTTCGCGCATGCGCGACTACTACTCCCGCGCATGCGCGAAGACATAGAGTAGGACACAATTTTTGTTTGGAATGGCTTCTCTAGTACGTAGTACATATAACTCAATGGCTACAAATAACTTCACCTCAGTCCCAACTAGCAAGATCTGCTGACCGGTAAATTATTAGTTCTCATTGTAAATAACGCATTCAGTAATCTGTTAATTATTGGGTAACTTACGACTGTTATGATTGTAAAACTTTTTTTTAAACAGTACCGTTGGGTATTTTTGCATGACTGTTATGACTGTAAATTGTTCTTTTTTTTTAAACAGTACCGTTATTTTTTTTTTGCTGGTTCTTCCTAGGTCTGAGGTACATATTTTCCGAACCAGTGGTAAATTAAATATAGGAGTAGCTTTCAATAAGTATTATTTATAATCTATGTAAAATAATAAGTGGTGAAATAAAAATGTTGTACAACCGACTTCGTTATAAATAAAATGAGAACATTATCAAAGTAGGCGAAGTCAATTAAATACGCATTATTAACGATAACCCAAAAACTACGATCTACCTACTTGATGAAATTTATATGAGATCACGTGAGAAGCACCAGCCTTCAAATAAAAAATCATCAAAATCAAGTCACCTAGAAAAAAGTTCTGAGGTAACACAAAAAAAATACAGTCGAAGCGAGTACCTCCTCCTTTTTTGAAGTCGGTTAAAAAAGTTACTATTTCTATTTCTAAGCACAACTAGTATTGTATACAAATCAATCAGACACTCACCATCTTCATCGGTTTTAGTAACCCCACCGCCGTGCGCACCAGCCAGTAACAACACCATCAATAGAAACCAGGTCTGCATCTGAAAAAAATCACTTTTTTTACATCATTGATCCATTAGTGCATGAGGTGATGGATTACGTTGGCCCTACACGACGCATCACCATAAGGATAACAGCAATTCAAAGTCCGTTATAATCTCTCCCAGCCCGGCTAGCATGGGCGGGGGACAAAAATTTTATCCCCCAATTATATGCACTGACAAGAGATAAAATTAGCTTGTTATGTCAAACGGGGAGAAGTATATCCCCGTTTGACATAACGAGTAGACATATATCCCCCGTCTGTAGCATGGAGCCAAATGAAAGATATAAAATTATGCTTTATTGACATTTGAAATGGACAATTTTATCATAGTTCATTAGACGTGGGCTTACTATAAAATTCATACAAAACATTTATCTAAGTCTAAGTCTATCTCCCAATTTATCTACTGTGGATATTATATCCACCGGTGTGCCCACGCTCTAAGGGTGGATAAAACTAAGCGAGGAGATAAACATTTTCTCCTTTCCCCGGGGATAAAATTGTCCCCCGCCCATGCTGGCCGGGCAGGTGAGAAGACCCTGCCATAATCACCGGGAATAGTAGAAGTGACTTTTTATATAGAATTAGCAATCTGCGCCGGTTTTGACAACAACAGCACCACCTACCGGGTCCAAATCTAAACCATCTAGTGACCCATTCATACACACAAAAAATTTCGTCAAAATCGATCGAGCCGTTTTTGGGTTTTAGCGAGACTAACGGACAGCTGCTTTATTTTATATATATAGAGTTCAGGGTGACAAGCGAGCACAGGTGAGTGTGAGTGTAGAGAACCTAAAACCCTTTTTATTCATTTTTGCCCTTAAATAGTGACAACGCATCTTAACCGAGCATAGATGTAGATCTCAATGGGCCACAGCATCCAATTACCATCAGGTGGACTGTGTGCTCGTTTGTTTTGTTTTCAACTGCATGCAAATAAAAAAAAACTTAACAAAATCGGTTCATCCGTTCATGAGCGGTGATGCCACAAGCTCGCGGCCTTTCAAATAGCTCGCGGCCTGCAGATTAAGCTGTAAGAGCCGCATAGGCTAACAACGCCAACATCTCGAAAATAGACAGACACACAGATACACATATATACAGATACACTGATACACACTACAACTTACTTATCTTCACGCACAATCCCTGACGGGGTAGCCAGAGAGAACAGATCGCCAAGTGTCACTGTCCTTACATACCTCTTTCGCATCTTTCAGATTCATTATCTTCTTCATACATGCACGTCTAGGTATCCGAGTACTCTTGACCCTCCCCTCTTCGAGCAATTTGCTCACATGGTCTTCGAAAGTTAGTCTCGGTCTACCTCGACACCTTTTAATATTAACTTTCGCGCTATATATTTTCTTCACCATTCGGTCTTCACTCATTCACTCAACGTGCCCAAACCATCGAAGCACGCCCTTATCAATTTTTGTGATAAGGTCATCTTTCAAACCTGCCATATTGCGAATCTCTTCGTTTCGCTTTCGGTCGGCCATGGTAACGCCGCACATTTTACGAAGAGATCGCATCTCCACTGCATTCAACTTGCTTTTATGCTTCTTCTGGCATACCCAGGTTTCGCTGCCATATAACAAAGTCGGTACCAACACTGCGTTATGTATTGCAAGGCGTGCACTCTGCACTACGACTTGCCTTTTGACTAACGCAGTCAGGGCACCATTGACTTTGTTCCCGGCAGCGACACGCCTGTCCACATCTAAATCACATCTTCCATCCCGGCTGAAAGCACTCTCCAAGTACACAATTTCATTTACCTGTTCTAGACATTCCTGATTTACCCATATTTCACACTTCGTTCTCTCTTCGTCCCTTTCAAATACACACTACAAACATATAAAAACCCCCTGTTTTCGTCATGGATTAAAAAACAAGTCTCATACTGTTTTACTGTGTGAAATTTTTGACAAAAGAATATTGTCCCTATTAGCTAGAAGTTTATTAGATATTAATCAAGATACTCCCTCACCCTCCCCTCTATTTTTATTGCATGACTCAACTTTCTGTTTTTTTTTTCTTTTCCTTTAGATTGATAAACTTTACCCCCACACTAGTATTTTCTCCTGTATCATGGAGGCGGTTTACATTTACATACATAAATAACACAATTACAAATATCCAGACGCGGTATAATCATTTGTAAGCCGTACAAATAGGTACTTGTAACCCGCGCCCATTAGCGTCGCAACTCATTGCCCACTGCGCCACGGAACCATCGATTATTAATCAATTTTATATAATGCCTAAGAAAAATTATAACACTAGAACAAAGATAACAGATGCCTTATCACTCCGGAACTATGATGGACTATTCCCGAAAGTAGTTGGGTTGATTGTAGGCAGCAGAAATATGTAAGTGTATATAAACACAAAAAGAACCCTGCCGTCCAAACCAAGAAACCAAACATATCGTTGTTTTTTTTATAGAACAAGGGTGACAAACGAGCACACAGTCCACCTGATGGTAAATCGATGCTGTGGTCCATAGACATCTACATTTATCCTCAATTAAGAATGCAGATGCAGACTGAGATGGAATGCTTCGTTTCCAGTAAAAAAGGATCTCCGGTTCTCTACACTCACCATACAAAACACAACAGCATTATATTGCTATTTTACGCTGGTATTCTGTGAGAGCGTGGTCCTTCCCCGGTCGAGCCGACCCATTCGTACTACAACCGCAATATAGTTGCAGCGTTGCTCTACCACGTAAATAAAGTTGCAGCCCCAAAGTAGGATTCACTTTTAAACGGATAGTCACTGAGCAACGCGTTCGTCATCATCTTATAGATGAATCAATAAATACACCGAGATCATCAAGAAAAAGAATATTGAGATATATTTTAAAATAATAACTAAACAATAAACCTACCTTAGACAAGCCACTATTGATCCAATCTGATCTCTGTCTGTAACACGGACCTCCGGAACTGATAACTAGAGGAAAGTAAGCGGTTGAGAGCTGTCACATCGTATTTAAGCTCGCCCCGCGACAGCCGACTGCCGGACTCGGTTACAAACATTTGCTGCCTTGCTATGACGAATCTGAAGGAGATAGTTTTTTTTTTAAATGGGCTTAATATTTCATTTTTTTCCTAATCCCATTTTTTCATAATACCAAAACCCAGAACGAGTATTTGTAAGTCATATCCCAAAACTTGTTCCGTGGAGGACTGGAACCTGCGGCCCTGCACCATCACGACCAAACGCTTTTTTTTAAAGTTACCTCCACACAATTTACATACATAAATGTCACAAGAACAAACATCCAGACCCGAAAAAATTATTTGTAGGCCACACAAATACTTATTCCGTGCGGGATTCGATTCTAAGCCGCTGCCACAGAGTAAAGAGGGTTTCTTTACTCATGTGCCACTGCGCCACGGAACCATCAATTAGAATTTTTCTTGAATTTATTTTATTAATATTAGACGATATACTTCATTATGTTGAGCTGTAGAGTAACTACTTTATCATGTATATGTACATGTAAATGTCTATGTATATTAGAGAATATCTAGGGAAAGGTTGACCACTTGGATCGGTCTGGCTTCTTGTAAAACATTTTATAATAGTTGACTGGCTAATATATATAAAAATGGAGCTACAGAATGTAGGTGATATTGAGTAATTTTTTGAGAACTTTTAAGCGTCTACAAAGCGATACTGCCAACTGAAGGTGTCTGAGTGTATTGGTGACTGACTTTTAATGATATTATCTAACATTTACGTAAAAATCAACTGGGAGAATTAACGTGAAGTGAGTAAAGTTTTTACGTACCTTGATTACCCGATACCTGGAAAATGGCCCATGTGTTCGTATGGTGAGTGTAGAGAACCGGAGACCCTTTTTACTGGAAATGAGGCATTCCATCTTAGTCTTACGTCTATACTTAGTCTCACGGGTGACAACGCATCTGCATTTTGATTTGTAATAGAGGATAGATGTAGATGTCTATGGGCCGCAGCAACCACTTACCATCAGGTGGACTGTGTGCTCGTTTGTCACCCTTAATCTATAAAAAAAAATCGATCGTTTTCGAGTTTTAGCGAGACTAACGGACAGCAATTGACTTTTATATATAGATTCTCGCCTTTTCTGTACTATAATATGAATATATTATATCTTTATAAATAAAAATTACGTGTCACATTGTTTGTCCGCTATGAACTCCAAAACTACTGAACTGATTTCAATGAAATTTTGCACACTGTGTGCAGTTTGATCCAACTTGAGAGAGAGGATAGTTTTTATCCCGATAAGTGACCCTCAATTTTTTTATTGCTAATTTCAGGTTTTTTTTTTTGGGAAAGCAAATGGTCGTCGGAAAGGGCAGAACAACGCCTACCTGGTCAGCTAGTATATATATATATATATATATATATATATATAACCTCTTGAATCATTCTGCCTAGGTACTGACATCAAAATCCGTTGCGTAGTGTATAAGATCTAAGCGTACAGACGGTAGGAAGCGATTCTTTTATACTATATCGAGAAAACAAATTCGTCATAGAGCGATCGCAACGCTTTTTGTGATGTCATGGAGAAAGTCAAGTTCAAACTCTTCGTATCCTGTCCAGCCCCTTACCAGCTCCTGTTAACCACCGAATGGGGTCCAGCTTGTTTTCCGCTGTTTTCTTTCAACTAATATGCATAGAACTTTAATACTTATACCAATTTTTTTATACCTTTCCTTTGCATTTACTGGCTGGCAGAGCCTCGTCCGCTAACTGACAAATGACACCTAGTGGTGAGGATAAGATTAGCAAGTTTCTTTATCTCCTTAAACTAGATACTACCATGGTACCCGGATTCCAGTTTAAGCAAGAGCGAACTTAAATACAATAATATTATTTAAAAAACTGTCAGTCATAACCAGATACTTTAACACCTTTAAAGAAACCACTCCATCCATCCATTACAGCCTATAAGTCTCATCAGTGGGCATATGCTTCCTCATAAGGAGGATTTACGCTTGGCAGGTAGGTTGGCAACCGCAGTTTTTTATAATTTGGAGTTGTTGTCAAGAAGACGCTATTGCTCATTTCCTAGTTTGTTTCCCTTTGTCGCCTTTTACGACACCTACGGGACGATATGGGTTATTATATTTCCTTACACAGCCATTACATTTAAAAAAAAAAAACGCATAAAAATAATTTCAAATTTTATTTCGACATGCACATACCTATTACAACTCAATATTTTTAAACAAAAATAATACAAACAAAAAACAACAAATAAATATCTTTCAATAAGTATTAGCAATCATAAAATTAACCAAAACTATCTCAAAGTGAACTAAACATGTATTAAACATTAAACAATTACGGGTGTATTCATAATCATTTTTAAACAGTTCATTAGTAAAAAAGTGTTTTGTCACTTTCTAGCAACAAGTATCTCGCAAATGTCAGAATGAGACAAAAAACTTTTTAACTAATGAACTGTTTAAAAATGATTATGAATACACCCGTTAATGTATATTCAATATCCTGTGTATAAAATACGAGTATTTATGTATACTGGAGGAAATTTGTTCGACTTTCTCCCAATGCTACTAAATAATTCAACTGCTGCATGTTATGTCATCTGTAGTACGATTGTCATCATTTGTGTTTGTGATTTCTATTTTTATAGAAGACATGTTATTTTGGTTTGTATCTATATCAATTTTAAGTTCGCCCCCTCCAAAAATCGGTTCCGTTTTCTTCAACTGCTCCATTTCTTGTTGTTGTAACAGTTGCACTCCAGACAGACCTTGCAAATTCAATAAATTCTTTATCCACTTCTCATTTTTGATAATTTCCTTTGTTTCGTCTATGTCATTTAGCTCCCTTGTCAATCCCTTCAAATCTTTTACGTTTTTCAATATTTGCATATCATTTACAAGGTTCTTCCGCGCTTTATCCTTCTTTTTATTCCCATATTGTTTCACACTATTGCCTGCGATTTCAAACTGGCTGTCTTCCGAATCAAATACCCTGTTGATTTTATCAATTTCTGACCAAGCGGTAGTGGAAACTATAGAGGCCGATGCCGATGTTGATCCTTTGCCAAGCCTGCTGAGACTAATGACTTCCATGTCACCGAGTATCTCGTTGTCCTCTTTGACAAACTGCAGTTCCTCGTGACCAAATGGGAATTCACAAGTCGTGTTTTCGCACATTAGCATCTTTTCATTCATGTTGATAAAGAAGAATTTTACACATGAGTTGCACAAAGGACATATCTGAAATAAAGACGTAATTTATATAGTACGTGAGGGTAATATGATCATCCGGTTAATATGGTCACTTTCTTATAACTCAAAAACTACAGCTTGATTTGCATAGATGGCTTTGTGATACGATAGCTCTTCATCAGTCATTCAAATAATAAAGGGTCAAAAGGCCGCCGTTTTATCGACGCCATTTTGACGGTTGATATTATAGTAAGTACGTGAGGGTAACATGGTCACCTTAAGCTTTATCGCCCTATAAAACCAAAATTAGGAGGAGAACAGAGACAAAAACACAAAGTCGTATACTATAACTAATATATCAAGAAAAAAATAGCAAACAAGCTTTGGAAATAATTAGGAACACTTCGAAAACTCTACTTAAAAAAACTAACTACACTACACAATACAAAAATCGACTAAAATATTTACAATAATATCAACTGTCAAAATGGCGTCGATAAAGGAGCGCCTTTTTGATCTTTTATTATTTGATAGACTGATCAAGAGCTATCGTATCACAGAGCGTTCTATGCAAACGACGCTGTAGTTTTTGAGTTATAAGAAAGTGACCATATTAACTGTATGACCATATTACCCTCACCTACTATAGTTAGTTTTTATTTAGTTGATTTTTCCAAGTGTTGCTAATTATTGCCAAGGCTTTTTTGTTATTATTTTCTATATTAGTTATAGTATACGACATTGTGTATTTGTCTCTGTCCTCCTCCTAGTTTTGATTTTATAAAGCGGCAAAGCTTAAGGTGACCATATTACCCTCACGTACTTTATAAGAAGTTAAATAACACACAAATTTATCATACATTTTTTATATAACTGGTTAACTGGAGTAAATAACAAATTTACAATTCACCTGATGGTAAGTGGTAACTGCAGCCCGTGGAAACCTACAATTAACTTCAAACAAAGAAGACCATTGATGCGTTGTCTCCTCTGAGGGCTGAGCTGGAATGAATCACAGCCTGTAATTATAGTGGCTCGCTATTTTTTTATAGGATAGGGTGACAAACGAGCACACAGTCCGCCTGATGGTAAGTGGTTGCTGTGGCCCATAGACATCTACATCTATCCTTAATAAAGAATCCAATTGCAGATACGTTGTCACCCGTGAGGACTAAGATGGAATGCCTCTTTTCCAGTAAAAAGGCTCTCCGGTTCTGTACACCCACCATACGAAACACAGCAGCGTTAAGCTGCTATTTTACGCTGGTATTCTGTGAGAGCGTGGTCCTACCCCGGTCGAGTCGACCCATTCGTGCTACAACTATACTAATAATATAACTGCATCATGGCTCTACCACGTAAAAATATATCTCAGAAACACAGCAGTGCAGCACTGCTAAGCAGCTGCAGAAATAGTTAAGTTTTGCACGGACAGACTCCTAAGCAGGAAAGGAGTCCAACCACCTAGTAGAATAATGGAGATGAGGCGTTAAAGGTCGTGAGAAGACGGTATAAAAGGATACATCAGCACAACGTGGGTGTCGTAAGAGTAGAATATCCCAAGTACCAAGTCCCAGAAATCTCATGGATCATGGCTCATGACAGTTTAAGCGTCTACTTAACACCAGGTGTAAAATACACAGGGCGGTATCTGGTTGTCTGGTACTGGGAACGTCAATCCGGCAGCCAGGCGTGGCTATTAGTTGCAACGCCTCTGCCATGTTCACGAACGGTCACATGGTCGGATTCACTGCATAATGCGCAAGCGTTGCACCTTCCTACTTCAGCTCGTATACGACAACCCTAACACCATCCTGAGCGACTGGCCATCTGTTGGGACTCGGCGATTTTGGCTCACTGGATGCATGTAATCCTGTATACTGGATTCTTGTCACCATTCGTGCAGGTTCTTGTTTATTTCGCTTATTGTTTTATTTTACTATTTATTTACATTTGACATTACATCTAACATTTAAATGTAATAAATAACTTATTATTATATTATATTAAGGCAAAAATAAGCTCCCGTGGGTGTCGTTAGAGGCGACAGAGGGAAACTGAAACAGAAGATGGGCAGCAACATTTTCCAAATAACAACCTAAAATAATAAAAAACTATGGTTGCCAACCTGCCTGCCAAGCGTGACAACTATGGCAAAACTCCCTCTATGAGGCAATCTATGAGCGAGGCTTCGCCTTCAACGGTGGAGTTTTATAGGCTGTAATGATGGAAGTCTAAGTTCAGCGGTAGACTTAAGGGGCTGATGATGATGAAGAAGAAACACAAAACCATGTTATAGAGTATATAACGTAAAAAAATCTTTTTTTTAAGTAGAACTACTTAAGTTGCGTAATAAAAACAATTTCATTGAATAGGCCTTAGATGTTTTTAAACACAAAAATTCAAAAAATGTCTCAATTGCAAGAAACTAGAAAGAACATACCCTCAGTATATCTTCGTTCATTTTGTAATTTTCAACCATCGCTTAAACTGAAACAAAAGTGACAAATACAGCTTTTTTATAATTTACATTGACCAAATTTTAGATTTAACATATAGACAAAAATAATTATGGAATATACTACATAACATTAATAAAAAAAGTAGATTCGTACCGAATTTCGTAGAAATATTAATCATAAAATTAATATTTCTAAAGTTTTTGCCAAAATATACAATAGCTCATTTTTGAATCAAATGTTATCATTTATGGACCAAAAGCTTTCTATAGATACATTAGAAGACAATTCTGAAGTCACCATACCTAACATGCTTAAAAACAAGTCACAAAAACGGTGGATGAACTACAAAAAATCACGGAGTTATTTGCAGATCGGTTCGTTAACTGCTATGTAAGAGAGAAGACGGATCATTCCAAAAGTAATAAACTCCATTGATGATGTAAAATTCACAGCCACATCTTTTAACCTACTGGTCCTAATAGAATAACATCCTTGTTACTAAAGCGAATACTATTTACGAGAAAGCGATAAGCTGTGACCTAGTAACTACAGACCAATAAATATCGTCTGTAAACATTGAAAAGGTCATAACTAAAAGATTAAGAAAATTCCTATTGACGAACAATTGATTTTAGATGAACGACACGAATGCCATAATGTGTTAATAATGTGGGTTGTGACCCATAACGATGAATTACTTACAGATGTGATATATCTTAACTATAAAAAACTTTTGACCATATACCATTGCGGCGACTTATATACAAATTAGTACATTTCGTCGGTATACGCGGTAAATTGTTAAGCCTGGATCAGTAATTTTCTGTCAGACAGAAAATTCTGCGTACGAGTTGGAAACATTTCGTCTAAACCCAGAGAAGCACTTAGCGGAGTCCCGCAGGGTTCTGTTCTTTGACCGTTAATATACATTCTATATTTATCGGATTTGAAAATCACGTTACAGCTACCATTCTTATTATTTGCCGACGATACAATTTTTTTGGGAATCGTATTACACAATTTCCAGTTATACAAGGGCAGTACTCATAACACTGAACGCAGACAAGTGTAGAAATAGAAAAAATCATATCCTTAACATAGTAAAAAAGTCAAACTCTATGCTGTATAAATGGTTCGTAAAAACTTTGTGTGTCTCACTCCTAAAACATTAATCAAGATCTACCAGATATAAGACCTCTATTGGAGTTCGCATATGTGATATGCAACCCACATTTCCATAAAGATAGTCTTCGTTCATATTTATCACTTGTAAATGTGAATTTAAGGGGCCGTTCAAGTATTACGTAAGCAGATTTTTTATAATTTTTGACTGCCCCCTCCCCAGTCAGCCAGCTAACAAGTCTAGATATAAGGAATTTATAGTCTATAGAGAAATTCACTTATAGTGGTTCACAATTATGGCGATGGTAGCGCTGTAGATAAGACCGCGCGCCTCACATACGTGGATTTGAAAGATCAATCCCAGGCACGCATTTCTGGATTTTTGAAATCTAAGTGCGGATTTATACCACTACCTCCGCAGTATCCGAAAAAGGAAATAAATAAATAATGCTGACGTAATCGCCATCTAGATCCCCATCTTCAATGTCATCAAAAATAAGCAAATCAAAGACCCAACCGCCTCTTTTCAGTGCTTACGTAATACTTGAATGGTCACCAATAGAGAGATAGTCTGATTAAAACATACAAAATACCGATAAGACATTATAATATGCCTAATCTGCAAAATGCAGATGCGTTGTCAACCCTGAGGACTAAAATGGAATTCCTCATTTCCAGCAAAAAGGGTGTTCTGTTTTCTATACTCACCATAAGAAACACAACAACATTAAGCTGCTATTTTATGCTGGTATTCTATTCTATATTTTTTATTCGTAAAATAATTATTTTGGTTTAGAAAAATGAAGTCACTACTGATGTCATATGTTAAACATTTTCAGAATTAAGTATTATTACAAAAAGATAGACACATTAAAGATAGTCTTAGGTTAAGACTATCAAAAACATCTAAGAATTATCTTATCCATAGTTTAAGCTTAGACTATTAACATTCCGTTCGTCCTATTAACGGCCATATGAGAAAGCTCAAGGTCGCTTACCGAGCCATGGAGAGGTCTATCTATGCTCAGGGTTTCTCTGCGTGATAAACTTAGAAATGAGGATATCCGCAGTAGAACAAGCAGGGCTATTCACAATCGTCTCGGAAAGCGAAATCGACACGGATTCGATAACTTCTCGCACCGAAACCAATAAACGCTATTCACATTTAACGTTCGGATAAAGGTCACTTAGATACATCCCATAACTATTGTATAATCATTTAGTTACATGCATTTACGAATTTTGTAGATAAATAGGCTTTTGTATTTTTTTAGAGTAACGCCTGAACAAAAACATAATGCAATATTTTGATGTTAGCAATTGATATCGAATATAAAAAATATATAATTTAACTATATAATAAATAACAAAAAAACTGAGATATGTCTCGTTTCTGTCGGGTCTGGGTTTTTTCTATGGGGCGTGACCGTACTTCTTTGACGTTTGTTTTCGATAATTGTGATAGTTTGCATCGGAAACTTCACGAGAGCTCTGAGGCTGGCGAAAACTTTTCGAATATTGATGATTAGAAGAGATAAATAAACCCTTTTAATTATAAGGTAGGTAACAAAAATTAATTACAATTATCCATAAGACGTATTTTCATATAATTACTTCAATATTTGCACTTAATCGTAAAGCTGAATTTTTGTGAAAGGTGTGTTTTTATAAGTTTTCTATCACAAAGTATATATATATATATGCTGCTTTGTGAAACGAGACATATCTCAGTTTTTTTGTTATTTATTATATAGTTAAATTATATATTTTTTATATTCGATATCAATGGCTAACACCAAAATATTGCATTATGTTTTTGTTCAGGCGTTACTCTAAAAAAATACAAAAGCCTATTTATCTACAAAATTCGTAAATGCATGTAACTAAATGACGATACAATAGTTATGGGATGTATCTAAGTGATCTTTATCCGAACGTTAAATGTGAATAGCGTTTATTGGTTTCGGTGCGAGAAGTTATCGAATCCGAGTCGATTTCGCTTTCCGAGACGATTGTGAATAGCCCGGCAGAATAAGTTACATAGCCCAACGGATTAGCAAACTGAAGTGGCAATAGACCGGCCATATAGCTTAAAGAATGTTGAACGATGATTCTAAAACAAATAAAGGTTTAGGATCTGGAACGTTCTCTGAAGACCTTAAATCCACATATGCACACCGCTGGGTACCCGCAACACAGTCTTTCAGGCAGAATGTATGGATATCATTCAAGGGGCCATAGATGCTAGGAAGGTAAAATACTTCTCCATCAGAATACTGACCGACAGTATGGCGGTACTACAAGCTCTGAGTTGCAATGTGGTGAACTCGGGACTAATATATGAATGCCATCAACGATTAAATGAGGTATTTAAAAACAACAATGTGACTCTGCAATGGAGAAAGGGACACAGTGGATCCAGAGGCAACGATGCAGCCGACAAACTGGCCAGAAAAGGATCGGCTCTGACCACTATAGGGCCGGAACCAATCATACCAATCCCCTTTGGTAACGTTTGTTCTCTGGTACGTACAAACTTCACCTACCTGAAATAAACAGTCATTTAAACAAGGTTGTAATGAGATTAAAAAAGCTGCATTTTAGGATAATAACAAATGCTATCACAGGACATCGTCCACTGTGCGGAGCATGTATGGGGAGGAAGAAACGGCGGCCCACGTGTTGCTGACATGTCCGAAGGTCACTGCATACAGTGCTAAACATGTTGGCACGCCGAGATCACTGCCCGAAGTTGCTTACAACATCAAAGGACTGTTGAACTTGTTCGGGGATTTCATGGCTCGAATAATGACATTATTCTTGCCCACACGCAAAATACGCCCTTAGACGTGGAGTTGCGGAAAACAACCCGTCGTTATGCTATTAAACATTACTAATATTCCCTTTAACCACTTCTGGTAAGGTTAAAATGCTTTTTTTATAGGAGAGGGGGCAAACGAGCATGCGGCTCACCTGATGGTAAGTGACTACCGCCGCCCATGAACAACTGCAACACCAGAGGAACCAGGGTAAATGCCTTTTAAAAAGGAGTAGGCTCTTTTCTAGCTCTTTTTATGCTTGTGTTAGAAGTGGTTCACGACAGTAGTCGAATGGCGGATTCGAACCCACGACCTTTCGAGTTCGCGGTCTGCGCCCTGCCATTAGGTTACTGATGCTTATAATGAACTAAACTAGCTCGAAGAAACGACATCCAGTTCTCGAGTGACAGCCTCGTACCGATATATGAAGAGTTGGGCGGCCCCCTTCTACATGACCTTCAGGAAGTTGAATGAAAATTTAATTTTAATAAATGCAATCTACATGGACGTCTTAGTACAGAGACGAAAAATGTGTTGTACTCTAAAATACTGTGTACTAGCGAAGGTGCAAAATGAAATGAAACGAAAACGATTAATTCTTTTTTTCTACCAACTTCAAAAGGGAAACAGTACTCAATTCGACAGAATGTTTTTTTTTTCTTATGTGTGTTACGTCATAACTTTTTCTGAGTGAACCGATTTTGAGGATTCTTTTTTTATTTGAAAGCTGGTGCTTATCATGTGGTCCCATATAAATTTGATCAAGGTCTGACCAATAGTTTTGAATTGTTCTTAATAATTTATATTGAAGTCGGTTGTACAAAATTTTAAATTTTAAATTATTATAAATAACAACGCTACTCAGATTTTAAGTCTTGACAGTTCTTATTACATAATCAAGATATTTTGTACCCTTAGATATAACATGGAGACAGTAAGCGGATAGTATACTTTGTCAAACAATATTCCAAGATCCTTATACAGATTTTCTATCCACATCTCTATTTAGTGTTACAGCCTATAAAAGTCCACTGTTGAACATAAGCTTCCCCCATTGATAGCCTGAATGGGGCGAGTTGACAACCACAGTTTATCATTTTGAGTTGTTGTCAGGAAGACACTGCTGCCCATCTCCTGTTACAGTTTTTCCCTGTAGTCTCTTACAACACCCACAGGAAAATATGGGAAAGTAGATATTCATATACCACCACTACAAGGTTAATATGTCTATTTATTTTTTAATAAAAAAATAGTTTTCTATTGTTAAATAATGACAGTGTTTTCTTGTATTCAGATGCATGTATTTTCTTCACACCATACATGCATTTAGTATATATTAGATTGAAGATTAAATGAATCACTAGTATTTATTAAAGAAAGGAACTTCAGATCTTCTACATACAACAGACATGCATTTCAAGACAAGAGTTATAGTGGTATAATATATTTCAAAATATAAATACTAAAAAAAGATTAAATTTCATAAAATAAAAAGTATTGTTTATACTATCTCATAATTACTCCAGTGAGAGAATTTTAATAGTTTGGCACTCAAGGGTATGTACTGTTTTTAGACTGGAGAAAATAGCACTGCAATAAAACACTACAAGAAAAAGCATATCTGCATATGAAATTGATTCAGTTCACACATTCTTTCTATAACCTAGTTTAAATTAGTTTAGGATAGGCTATTTTCCACAACTCTACATCCAAGCACATATATTGCATGTGTTCCAAAAAGCTATACACTTGCAAACATACATTGTTCAAGGACTAATATGATTTTTTAATTTATAAACAAACATATTGTCATATGTTTAACATGTGGTAGAGCCACGCTACAGATCAGCATGAATGGATCAATTCGACCGAGGAATGACCATGATCTTTCAGAATACCAGCATATAATAGCAGCTAAATGTTGCCGTGTTACTTATGGTGAGCTTAAAAAACAGGAGACTCTTTTTACTGGAAATGGGGCATTCCATCTTAGTCCTCCCGGGTGACAATGGTCTGAATTTTGATTCATAATCGAGGATTAATGTACATATTTTTGTCTTCATAAAATAAGGACAAACCAGCACATACCTATAAATATATATAATAATAATAATAATTAAATATGTATTATAATCACTACACAAAAAATAAAGCATTTTATTCATTACCGTTTCTAACAAATGAATCCTGTTCCAGTTTACCTGCAACTTGAATGGTAATATTTTAATAGTAGCTGGAAACTTTAATTCTATTGGAATTATACATAAAATGCTAACATAATGTATATTTGAAACAAAATTATATTTTAATATTTCCAGTAATATAAATAACCACAAATATAATTAACCAACACAAGAAGAAATAACATTTTTTTTAAATACAAACAATTTCCGACAAACCGTATACTAACGTGAGGGAAAAAATTAAAACTTATATTTAGTTGTTAGCTTGAAGGTGTATCATCATTTGCGCACAAACCAAAAAACGGTTGTTATAATATAAAAAACACAAAATACTTTAACTTTAGAGGTTACTTGTCAAATGTCAAAACAGAAATTAGGGTTAGGCTTGTACTTTGTAGAAAAAGTATCGATCTATCGATATATCGATATTTTTTGTTGGATGTATCGACACTTTTGGGCGATGTCTGTCATTTCGATACGTCGATATAGCGACATAAAACTTAAATGTCAGGTATCGAAAATGTATCAAAAACTCGGTGTCGTCGGTGCATAAAAAAACTTGCTAACAAAACCCGACGAGGTTATACGGGACGAGACCACGCCGTGCTAGTGGCTGCATCACAATGAATCACTTCCTACCCGCCCCGCTAGCAACCAATCCGATCTCGCGCGAACGTAAACCGGTAGGAAATCACCGCACTGCGCGCCCCCTGGCGTCGATTCTAGCGTTTGGCGCGAACATACCTCCGTCCCTGACATAAGGACTTATGTCCGCGAGTAGATTGGCAAACGGGACAGGGTCGTGACGGCACGTTGCAAGACCGAATCTCCGACCAAAACCTCGGCCACCCTAGGCATCCGAGGCCATCCGAGGCCATCCGATCCATACGACAATTTAACAATGCGCCCACGGCGCCAATACAAAGGCAGAGCGTTGGGTTCTTTAACCAACACGAGGTCTCCCACCCGAGGAGGCTCCGTCTTGTCAGACCACTTAATGCACTGCTGCAAAAGATGTAGGTACTCCAGAGACCGTCGGTGCCAAAAACTCTGAGTCATCTGTTGCATCAGGTCAAATCTGCTCAACCGCGAAGAATTTATTTCCCTGAAAGAGTACTTGGGCAGGGCGTTAAGCGGCTGGCCAATCAGGAAGTGTCCCGGGGTTAGAACCTCCAAATCACTTGGATCGGACGAGAGGGGACGGAGGGGCCGAGAGTTGAGTACCGCCTCAATTTTACAAAATACAGTAGCAAGCTCCTCAAATGTCAAAATAGTTTCGCCAATAACGCGACGGAGATGCGTTTTTACAACCTTAACCACCACCTCAAAAATACCGCCCCAGTGTGGGCAAGCCGGAGGGTCGAATTTCCACTGGATGCCCTTCTTGGACATTGCAGTACCTAAATAAGTCCTGTGGCTGGACAGAAATTCGACGACCTCTTTCAAATATCTATCCGTGCCCTTATAATTCGTTCCGCAATCAGACCGGATCAGGTCCGGCAAACCGAGACGCGATACGAAGCGGCCCAGCGTGGCCAAGAAGGCTTCCGTGCTGAGGGCACTTACAAGTTCTAAGTGAACGGCCTTAGTGGAGAGGCACACGAAGACGCAACGATAGGCCTTATGTGAACGCGCGTTACGAAGGTCGGAGGACTTGACGAGGAAGGGGCCAGCAAAGTCTGTTCCGACTCCAGCGAATGGTCGGATGGCCCTGACGCGGTCGGGTGGCAAGTCACCCATCATAGGCTGCGATATGGTGGCCTTCAGTTTATAACAAGGTATGCACTTAAAGATGACGCTCCGAATGGTGCGTCAGCCAGCCAAAATCCAAAACTCCCGCTGCAGAATAGCCGAAAGAGCGTTACACCCAGCGTGGGCATTCTTAACATGATGGTGAGTTACCAACAACCGAACAAAGGCGCCGTCCTTAGGGAGCAGTAACGGGTGTCGAGCCCCGTACGGCAGTTGAGAATTTTTCAAACGTCCACCAATGCGCAGCATCCCAGCGTCGTCCAGGAAGAGGTTCAGACGGGCCAGAGCGCCCTTGACAACGGAGCCCCGCTTCAAGTTTTCAATCACGGGCTCAAAATGCTCCGCTTGGACCATACGGGTCCAATGCATCAAAGTTTCGCGACGCTCGCTAGGGGATAAAACGGAATCAGAGATTCGGTTGGAGGGGTCTCTCGATTTGCGGACAAATCAACGCAACCAAGCAGTCATTCCTAAGAGCTTATCGAGAGAGCTGTATCGTTCTAGCAGGGAGAAATCCCGAGTGGGCTTATTCTTGCCCACTCCTACTCAGGCTCGTAGGCCAGGCAATTCAATCGGTTCGGAGTATTTATTCTGGGGCCAGAATGACTGAGACTCAGTCAACCAACTGGGACCCCACCACAGCGGGTGGTCAACCAAAGAGGGGGCTTCAATGCACAATGGAGAGCCACTCTCGCAAGAGGGCACCGCTAATAGGCTCATCCCAACCCAACCCGGATATCCAGAGCTTTTGAAGAAAGCTCTTAGCCAAAAATATGACCGGAGTGATCCATCCATTAGGATCGAAGATGCGAGCTAATGTAGACAGCACGGAGCGCTTGGTCCATGCTTTAGGAGGGGGATCGAGTTTGATTCGATACGTGAAAGTATCCTGCACAGGCTGATATTTAATACCCAGCACAGTAAAACAAATTAGGATTTTCAGGGTGCTCGAATAGATGAGGGTCTTGTTGATCCTCTCCTGTGAGGTCCTTCAAAATATGAGGGGAGTTCGACAACCATTTGCGCAACTCATAACCTCCGGACTTCAGGATGGCAATCAATTCGTCTCGCAATACAAGAGCCTCCTCGACGGTGGAGGCGCCCGTGCAAATGTCGTCCATGTAGACCGAAGTCTCCAAAATAGAAGCCCCCCGAGCGTATCTTAGACGCTCCCCCTCAGCGAGTTCAAGGAGGGTTCGCATGGCGAACGATATACGGGCTGGAACGGAGTCGATAGGTGGTGGTGTTCAACTCAAACACCTGTATCAGATCGCTGGACTTCTCGCGCCACAATATCAGCTGATATCGACGGTCATCACGATGGTCCACTGATTGTCGAAACATCATCCGAATGTCGGCTACAAAAACCACTTGGTGCCGACGGAAGTGGGTCAAAATGTTGGATATGTCCTTGATCAATTTAGTACCAGAGTGGAGACACTAGTTCAGGGACACACCATTTGACGAGGGGGCGGAGCCGTCAAAAACTACCTGAATCTTACTCTCAGGGGTCCTAAAGACCGCATGGTGAGGGAGGAAGTAGTGCTCCTGTGAACGCCATTCAAAGTTGGACGGTGACATGTGACCCAGCTCTTGATACTCGCGCATGAACTCGACATATATGTCGCGAAATGCTGGGTCGCGCCGCATGCGGCGCTCCATGGAAAGCAACCTCTTCTCGGCCAGTGCACGAGATTGACACAAAAGAAGCCGTGAGTCCAGAAAGGGTAAGCGAGTGACAAAACGACCGTCAACGCGACGCCCGGTATTATTCTGGTAGAACAACTTGCACTCACGGTCCAGAGGGTTGACTCGAGCCGTGTGTGGTGGCTCCTCAATTTCCCAAAACCTCTGGACGACTTCCGAAAGGGACACGCCCACAACAGAGAGCGTGTCGGCCGTCTGAGGAGGTGGAGACCACAGAACCGGTCCAAAGAAGCTGTGCCCAATTACAGTGGACATGGCTGACAAGCCATAGGGGTGTAGGGCTCGTATCTCGCCTAACAAGATCAACCCCAGTGCGTCGGCCCCAAGCAACAAATCTATAGGCTCAGGTTGGGACCATTGAGGGCCTGCCGGTCTCAAACCCGACGCACAACGAACCGCGCTGTCATTTATAAGGATGTTAGGGAGAAAACCTACAATGTCATCGAGGACATTTACATTAACTAGAATGTGAAGGTGTTCGCTGGTAGGGCCAAACACCAACTCTGCTTGTCCCCTAGGAGCAGGAGGCTCGGCACCTCCGATACCTACCATTGGACGTGATTCAGAGCTCCAGGGGAGCCCTAGTCTTCCCACCAACCAAGTGCAGGCCACACTGCGTTGTGAACCCGAATCCAATAGAGCGCGAACCGTTAAACAGTTGCCACTGGTTGTACACCTTCACTGAGGCCGTCGGCAATAGAACAAATTGACAAGTGGACTGTTGACAGCTCAAAGGCTCAGTAGAGGCGGCCGTGGTGGGAGCTAGGGCGGCAGTTACCTAGCTGGAGCTGCCTCCATCGGACTGGCCCTCAAACGGGTGGTCCGGAAAGCGGCATTCCGGCGGCATCTCAACGACCCGTGGATGCCACTCACCAAATGGGCCGACCTGGGGAAATTCGGGGAACCTTGGCCTTGGGGCCCGGGACAGCCTTGAGGTCGCAGGAACCTGGTAGTACCGGTACCGACCAAAGGGAGGAGGGTGGTACTCCAGTCGCGGCCGCTCAGCTAACGGGGGTGAGACGATTCTAGCTGACCGCTGAGTGGCCGCGAAGCTCCTCTCAACACGCTGAGGGGGGGTGACGATCCCCCCGCCCCGGGGGCATTGACCCCCCGACTGGTCGGGGGGCATTGACCCCCAACTGGTCGGGGGGGGACCCTTTTCAAACCCAGGGGCACGGTGGCCGGCAGGCGAGCGCCGAGCGTTGCCTGACAGGGGGCGCGGCTGAGTGCCCCTGCCCGTGGGAGTCGAGGGCCCGGCAGAGCCCCGAGAGGAAGCGCCGTTCGCACCCAGGCACAAAACGGCATGGTGGTTGCCCTGGCAGTGCGGACAGGGCCGCTGGTGCGGGCAGTCACATTGGAGGTGCCTATCCAAGAACGAGAAGCACCAGCGGCGCTCTTTTGCGATGGTTTGCCTCGCCGGGACTGGCTTACCCAGCAACTTCGGGCACGACGTCACCCGGTGATCGGATGCTCGACAATAAGAGCAGGGGGGCGCCTCCCTCGCCGCTAGGCCGCTATAAGATGGTAGGGGGTGGCGCCCTCCCGCGGGGGCTCCGCTCGGACTTAGGGGAGTTGGCGACGATTTACCCGTCGGATTCCGCCTTTCCCTGGACACGGCTCGGTTGGCACTTCGCAGGGCCTCTACGGCGCCTGCTGCATTCTCCATTTGCCGGCACTGCTCCTCCAGGAACTGCAGCAGGTCCCTGTAGGGCGGAATGTAGGAGGCACCGTCCCCGCCGTACCTCTCCTCAAAATGGAGCCGAAGATCAAGAGGCAGGCGGGACAGCACAATGTGAAGCAACAAGAAGGACCATTCGTCCACCGGTAAATCCAGCCGCCTCAACGAGTTACAAGCCACCACGACTGGATTGGCCCCAGCCTCGATCAAGTCGTCCGT